TACACTAAAGTGGCAGGATACAAAATCAATGCACACACACAAATCAGTTGTATTTCTAAATGGAGACAATGAATAAGGAGAACAGGAAATAAGGAAAACAGTCCCACTTGAATTCAGGCCAAAAAGAATGAAATACCTACAAGTAAACTTAATGAAAGAGGTGAAGAATCTATACACTGAAAATTATAAGACTCTCTTAAAGTAATAAAACAGAAACAGATAACTGCATGGAGACACTCATGGATTGGAAGAACATCATTAAAATGGTGATATTACCTAAAACATTTTTTTATAGATTCAATGCAATACCTATCAAAATCACAATTTACTTTTTTCAAGGAAATTGAGTGAACAATTACAAGAGGCCCTGAGTAATGTAATCCTGAGGGAAATAAAGAAAATGGAGGTACCACACTTTCTGACTTCAAACGTCAATGAACAGCAACAGTTATCAAAACAACATGGTATTGGAACAAAAACAAACTCAAGAGCAGTGCAGATATACCAGATAACCACACAAATATGCACAGCTAATCTTTGAAAGAGGACTCGTGGCCATACATGAAGTAAAAAAACTCTCTAACAAACGGGAAACATGCACAGGCATGTGAAGAAAAATAAAACTATTTCCACTGAACTCTAGGTACAAAAATTAATTCAAAATGGATTAAAGATCAGGGCCCTCCCTTGGTGGTGCAATGGGTTAGGACTCAGCAGTACAAGCTCATGGCTGCCGCTTCAGTGCTCATTAGATCCCCGGCTCGAAGGTGACTCACATGACACAGCAGACCTCTCCTGTCTTGACCACTGCTCCCCTCAGCAGGGTACTTCCTCAGTCTACCTGTTCTACTCCCCACTCTATCTCTGGTGAATCCTCCACAGCCCCTGCACCTCTGGCCCATACCCCAGTTCTGTATGCATAAATAGAGCTTAAAAAAAAAAAAAAAAGATCTGAATGTAAGAGCCAAAACTACAAAATACTTGAAAGAAAACATAAAGACAGACTTTAGGACATCTTCCGCAAAGATCTGTTTGGGGTCTCAACTCAAATATTAAGGAAAACTAAACAAGTGAGACTAAAAGAAACTATCAAAGAAACAAAAAAATGGAAAAAAAATACTTGCACATATCTGATAAGATGGCAACTTCCAAAATACATAAATTACTATACAATCCAACAACAAAACAAGCCAATCCATTCAAAACATGGGCAAAAAAAAAAAACCCAAAAATCCATTTGGGGTTTCTAAGAGATTCAGATGGTCTATAGACATATGAAAAAAATTGTTCACCATAACTTATTATAAAGAAATGCAAATCAAAATCACTCATTATATGGGAGTCAATAAATGTGGCTGAGGACATGGGTTAAAAAACAACTCTCGGCCCTCCCTGGTGGCGCAGCGGGTTAAAGCACAGCATTGAGAAGCTAAAACCACTTCAGCATGAGTTCGATTCCCGCCTGCCCCGGAGGAGACCACATGGCGTGGCAGACCTCTCCTGACCCGTCCGCTGCTCCCCTCAGCAGTGTACTTCGTAGATCTGCTTGTTCTGCTCCCCACTCTGTCTCTGGTGAAGCCTCTCACCACCCCTGACCCTCTGGCCTGTACCCCAGCTCTGTATGCA